CGAGTTTTGAGTCGACTCAAAACTCGACTCATTTCACGCTGCCGTCTGAAGAGCCTGCCATGCGTGCGCGCCTGTTTTTTGAGAATTCTAAAAAAACACGCGTTGCCGTCTGAAGAGCCTGCCATGCGTGCCTGAAGCGCTCGTTCCATGAAATGAGTCGAGTTTTGAGTCGACTCAAAACTCGACTCATTTCACGCTGCCGTCTGAAGAGCCTGCCATGCGTGCGCGCCTGTTTTTTGAGAATTCTAAAAAAACACGCGCTGCCGTCTGAAGAGCCTGCCATGCGTGCCTGAAGCGCTCGTTCCATGAAATGAGTCGAGTTTTGAGTCGACTCAAAACTCGACTCATTTCACGCTGCCGTCTGAAGAGCCTGCCATGCGTGCGCGCCTGTTTTTTGAGAATTCTAAAAAAACACGCGCTGCCGTCTGAAGAGCCTGCCATGCGTGCCTGAAGCGCTCGTTCCATGAAATGAGTCGAGTTTTGAGTCGACTCAAAACTCGACTCATTTCACGCTGCCGTCTGAAGAGCCTGCCATGCGTGCGCGCCTGTTTTTTGAGAATTCTAAAAAAAACACGCGCTGCCGTCTGAAGAGCCTGCCATGCGTGCCTGAAGCGCTCGTTCCATGAAATGAGTCGAGTTTTGAGTCGACTCAAAACTCGACTCATTTCACGCTGCCGTCTGAAGAGCCTGCCATGCGTGCGCGCCTGTTTTTTGAGAATTCTAAAAAAACACGCGCTGCCGTCTGAAGAGCCTGCCATGCGTGCCTGAAGCGCTCGTTCCATGAAATGAGTCGAGTTTTGAGTCGACTCAAAACTCGACTCATTTCACGCTGCCGTCTGAAGAGCCTGCCATGCGTGCGCGCCTGTTTTTTGAGAATTCTAAAAAAAACACGCGCTGCCGTCTGAAGAGCCTGCCATGCGTGCCTGAAGCGCTCGTTCCATGAAATGAGTCGAGTTTTGAGTCGACTCGAAACTCGACTCATTTCACGCTGCCGTCTGAAGAGCCTGCCATGCGTGCGCGCCTGTTTTTTGAGAATTCTAAAAAAAACACGCGCTGCCGTCTGAAGAGCCTGCCATGCGTGCGCGCCTGTTTTTTGAGAATTCTAAAAAAACACGCGCTGCCGTCTGAAGAGCCTGCCATGCGTGCGCGCTGTTTTTTTGAGAATTCTAAAAAAACACGCGCTGCCGTCTGAAGAGCCTGCCATGCGTGCGCGCCTGTTTTTTGAGAATTCTAAAAAAACACGCGCTGCCGTCTGAAGAGCCTGCCATGCGTGCGCGCCTGTTTTTTGAGAATTCTAAAAAAACACGCGCTGCCGTCTGAAGAGCCTGCCATGCGTGCGCGCCTGTTTTTTGAGAATTCTAAAAAAACACGCGCTGCCGTCTGAAGAGCCTGCCATGCGTGCGCGCCTGTTTTTTGAGAATTCTAAAAAAAACACGCGCTGCCGTCTGAAGAGCCTGCCATGCGTGCGCGCCTGTTTTTTGAGAATTCTAAAAAAACACGCGCTGCCGTCTGAAGAGCCTGCCATGCGTGCGCGCCTGTTTTTTGAGAATTCTAAAAAAACACGCGCTGCCGTCTGAAGAGCCTGCCATGCGTGCGCGCCTGTTTTTTGAGAATTCTAAAAAAACACGCGCTGCCGTCTGAAGAGCCTGCCATGCGTGCGCGCCTGTTTTTTGAGAATTCTAAAAAAACACGCGCTGCCGTCTGAAGAGCCTGCCATGCGTGCGCGCCTGTTTTTTGAGAATTCTAAAAAAACACGCGCTGCCGTCTGAAGAGCCTGCCATGCGTGCGCGCCTGTTTTTTGAGAATTCTAAAAAAACACGCGCTGCCGTCTGAAGAGCCTGCCATGCGTGCGCGCCTGTTTTTTGAGAATTCTAAAAAAACACGCGCTGCCGTCTGAAGAGCCTGCCATGCGTGCGCGCCTGTTTTTTGAGAATTCTAAAAAAACACGCGCTGCCGTCTGAAGAGCCTGCCATGCATGCGCGCCTGTTTTTTGAGAATTCTAAAAAAAACACGCGCTGCCGTCTGAAGAGCCTGCCATGCGTGCGCGCCTGTTTTTTGAGAATTCTAAAAAAACACGCGCTGCCGTCTGAAGAGCCTGCCATGCGTGCGCGCCTGTTTTTTGAGAATTCTAAAAAAACACGCGCTGCCGTCTGAAGAGCCTGCCATGCGTGCGCGCCTGTTTTTGAGAATTCTAAAAAAACACGCGCTGCCGTCTGAAGAGCCTGCCATGCGTGCGCGCCTGTTTTTTGAGAATTCTAAAAAAACACGCGCTGCCGTCTGAAGAGCCTGCCATGCGTGCGCGCCTGTTTTTTGAGAATTCTAAAAAAAACACGCGCTGCCGTCTGAAGAGCCTGCCATGCGTGCGCGCCTGTTTTTTGAGAATTCTAAAAAAACACGCGCTGCCGTCTGAAGAGCCTGCCATGCGTGCGCGCCTGTTTTTTGAGAATTCTAAAAAAACACGCGCTGCCGTCTGAAGAGCCTGCCATGCGTGCGCGCCTGTTTTTTGAGAATTCTAAAAAAACACGCGCTGCCGTCTGAAGAGCCTGCCATGCGTGCGCGCCTGTTTTTTGAGAATTCTAAAAAAACACGCGCTGCCGTCTGAAGAGCCTGCCATGCGTGCGCGCCTGTTTTTTGAGAATTCTAAAAAAACACGCGCTGCCGTCTGAAGAGCCTGCCATGCGTGCGCGCCTGTTTTTTGAGAATTCTAAAAAAACACGCGCTGCCGTCTGAAGAGCCTGCCATGCGTGCGCGCCTGTTTTTTGAGAATTCTAAAAAAACACGCGCTGCCGTCTGAAGAGCCTGCCATGCGTGCGCGCCTGTTTTTTGAGAATTCTAAAAAAACACGCGCTGCCGTCTGAAGAGCCTGCCATGCGTGCGCGCCTGTTTTTTGAGAATTCTAAAAAAACACGCGCTGCCGTCTGAAGAGCCTGCCATGCGTGCGCGCCTGTTTTTTGAGAATTCTAAAAAAACACGCGCTGCCGTCTGAAGAGCCTGCCATGCGTGCGCGCCTGTTTTTTGAGAATTCTAAAAAAAACACGCGCTGCCGTCTGAAGAGCCTGCCATGCGTGCGCGCCTGTTTTTTGAGAATTCTAAAAAAACACGCGCTGCCGTCTGAAGAGCCTGCCATGCGTGCGCGCCTGTTTTTTGAGAATTCTAAAAAAACACGCGCTGCCGTCTGAAGAGCCTGCCATGCGTGCGCGCCTGTTTTTTGAGAATTCTAAAAAAACACGCGCTGCCGTCTGAAGAGCCTGCCATGCGTGCGCGCCTGTTTTTTGAGAATTCTAAAAAAACACGCGCTGCCGTCTGAAGAGCCTGCCATGCGTGCGCGCCTGTTTTTTGAGAATTCTAAAAAAAACACGCGCTGCCGTCTGAAGAGCCTGCCATGCGTGCGCGCCTGTTTTTTGAGAATTCTAAAAAAACACGCGCTGCCGTCTGAAGAGCCTGCCATGCGTGCGCGCCTGTTTTTTGAGAATTCTAAAAAAACACGCGCTGCCGTCTGAAGAGCCTGCCATGCGTGCGCGCCTGTTTTTTGAGAATTCTAAAAAAACACGCGCTGCCGTCTGAAGAGCCTGCCATGCGTGCGCGCCTGTTTTTTGAGAATTCTAAAAAAAACACGCGCTGCCGTCTGAAGAGCCTGCCATGCGTGCGCGCCTGTTTTTTGAGAATTCTAAAAAAACACGCGCTGCCGTCTGAAGAGCCTGCCATGCGTGCGCGCCTGTTTTTTGAGAATTCTAAAAAAACACGCGCTGCCGTCTGAAGAGCCTGCCATGCGTGCGCGCCTGTTTTTTGAGAATTCTAAAAAAACACGCGCTGCCGTCTGAAGAGCCTGCCATGCGTGCGCGCCTCATGTGCTCGTTCCGTGAAATCAGGTGCCCTGGGAGGGGTTGGCGCGGGCTGTGCAGAAAAAGGCACTGGTATGTGAAACCCCTGCCGTGGCAGGCGGCAGTGTGTGGCAGTGTGTGGCAGTGTGGCACGTGGGCTGCCTTTGATACGAGCGTGACCTGAATTTGCGTGCCGTGTTTGCGGTCCGTGGTCCATGCAGGGAAATGAAGGCGAAGCTGAAAAGGGCCTTTCCGAATGCATTTGAGGTCAGTGGTGGTGGGTTCTGACTTGGCTCTAAAGGGTCGAGTTTTCTTCTGTTTTTTTTTTTTTTCGTTAACATGCACCCTGCCTCGTGTGGCTTTTGAAGCACACCAAAAGCTGACCCCCGTTGTGCTCTGATGATCCTGCTCTGTTTCTTCCCTTTACAAGTTGACATGGTACGGTAGCAGTCGCCACCAACTCTTGAAGAGAACCCACCATGTCACAACCACCACCACCACTACCACTGCCATCCATCCCCCTCATTGCCGGCAGGAAGCAGAGGAGATCGTGTCATTGCAGCCGGGATTGCAAGTGGATGAGGAGGATGAGTGAAAGAGGAGCACGCACTACCAACTCTTGCACCGCCCGCACCACAATCCCCCTCGTTGCTCCCAGGAGGCAGAGGAGCTTGTGGCATTGCAGCCGGGATTGCAAGTGGGAGAGGAGGATGAGTGAAGGGAACCATCTCTGCAGTGTATATTAGCGTGCAATCTATCTCTGCAATGTATATAAAGCATGTAATTCATCTCCGCAATTTATACAAGCCTGCAATGTCACGAGCAGCAACGGGAGGGGGTTTGATATCCTTCCCACACCACACCACTCAATTCAATCACGTGGCTGAGCAGGGAAATCAAAACGGGGATGGGGAGTTTTGGCAGAACTTTGGCCAGCATGATCTCAGACTGTACTCAGGGTCCTGTCCCGTACCCTGTACTCTTGAGAGCTTGACAGCTTGTTTATTCTGTGCTCAATGTTGGAAAAGCAAGCAGTCGCGGACAACAGCAGCTGGGTCACACATACGGTACTGCAAATGCTAACAGACACACATACAGTGCCACAAGGGATTAGAAATCTCTACTACTGACTGATTAGTAGGTAACAGATGCATGACTAACAGCAGACATCACGTGCAGTCACCCGTGCCAAACCAGGCAATTGAGTCGGTAAAATGGCACGCAGAGAACAAGGCCAGCTGTCACACAGAGAACCACTGAGAGGTCAGATCAGGTGTAAGCAAGAAGTCACATAGTCAAAGGGATTCACTGACATGACTGATGCAAGAACCGAGTTGACTTTTGAGTCGACTCATAAGTAAACTCGGGATTCACAGCCACGATTGATGCAAGAACCGAGTTGACTTTTGAGTCGACTCATAAGTAAACTCGGGATTCACAGCCACGATTGATGCAAGAACCGAGTTGACTTTTGAGTCGACTCATAAGTCAACTCGGGATTCACAGCCACGATTGATGCAAGAACCGAGTTGACTTTTTGAGTCGACTCATAAGTCAACTCGGGATTCACAGCCACGATTGATGCAAGAACCGAGTTGACTTTTGAGTCGACTCATAAGTCAACTCGGGATTCACAGAACTGATGCAAGAACCGAGTTGACTTTTGAGTCGACTCATAAGTCAACTCGGGATTCACAGCCACGACTGATGCAAGAACCAAGTTGACTTTTGAGTCGACTCATAAGTCAACTCGGGATTCACAGCCACGACGACTGATGCAAGAACCTAGGGGCGGGAGGAGGGGAAGATGGGGGATTGAGCGGGAGAGGGGCGTGGAGAGAATTGAAAGAGAGCTGCGAGGAAATGAGAGGTGAGTGGAGGTGGAATGAGAGATGGGGGGGGGGGGGGGGGGGGGGGGGGGGGGGGGGGGGGGGGGGGGGGGGGGGGGGGGGGGGGTGGCGGGGGGCTAGGCGAGCGTGGAGGGAGGGGAGAAAGGGTGGGGGGGGGGGGAGGGGGGGAGTTGGTTACGCATGAGAGAATGCGCATGAGGAGTGAATGGGTGGGGCAGATGAGGGGTGAGTGGGGGTGGAATGAGAGATGGGGGGGGACTAGGAGAGCGTGGAGGCGGAGGGGGAGGAGGAGGGGGGTTGGGTGGGTGGGTTGCCTGGCAAGAGGGATGGATGGGGGATGCGCACGAGGAGTGAATGGGTGGGGGCAGATGAGGGGTGAGTGGGGGAAGGCGGAGGGGAGGGAGGGGGGATGGGGATGGTTAGGACGGACATGAAGGGGCAAAGGAGGTGAGGGAAATGGGGGATGATGAGGGGGCGGTGGCAAGGGGAGCGGAATAGGGGGGAAAGGGGAGAGGAGGGGGAACGAGGGGTGAGCAGAGCGAAGATGAGAAGTGGGTGCAGAGGGAGGGGAGAAAGCAAAGGAGCACGGGTGGATAAGCGGCGCACGCAGGCTACTGAGGGGAAAGCGGGAGGCGTGGGGGAGAGCGGGGGAGATGAAGAGAGAGCGTGGGGGATGAGAGATGCATGACGTTACTAGGCAGGGGAAGAGAGGGGAGGGAAATAGGTAAAAAAATGAGAAAGAGGACTCTCCCTTGTGGCGTCCCTTAACGCGCTTCAAATAACGACTTTCACTGATCCACTCCTTTCCCATTCGCTCCCTTACGCCTCTTTTCCCTGCCGACCTCCCCTTTCCACTTTCTTGCGCATCCGCCAGGCTAATGTGGCTTGCGTTTGTATCATGCGTTTGCAGGATAAGACCCCAATGATAGAAGTAGCGAATTTGTCAGCAGTTTTGTTTTTCGACCCAAAAAAAGTCTCAATAAAATAATCGTCACGAATGTGTCCGCAAATCGGCGCTAAAATTCGCAACGCAAATGAACGTTGAGATACTCGAGCTAAAAAAACGTCAGATCTTACTAGTACACCAACTACCACTAATGGCTTTTGAGGCGCCTCAAAAGTCGTCTCATTACCCGCAGATCTTACCAGTACACCAACTACCACTAATGGCGCGAATCTGGAGGGAGAGCAACTAGTCTCAAAGAGTTAGCTATAGTAACCGCACTAGATGTGTGAAGCGGCGAACGCTGAAGTAGGACCGAAGCGCGATTAAGACTAAAAAGGTACTGAGATCCAACTAGTTACGGAAACAAGATCAGGGACTCCATGGAAAAACGAACTACCGCTTTTGCCTCCAAAAATCAGTAAGCGACGGTAGCGAGATGAACGGTGACAGGAGAACTAATCATCGCTGACTCGATCTAAGGGGAGAGTAACTATTAGAACTGGATAATGCTGAATGAGAGGAATTAGGTATGGCAGGTGAGAAACTGTGAGATCGGGGTTATTGATTCAACGCCTTGGTGCTTGCGTGACGGTGACAGAAACATTCGGTGCTGCCGTGGAAAACACCCTTGATTTCTATTGGCTAGCTAAATCCCTTCAGGATCACCTTTTAAATTTCCAGCTGCCCAAGTCAAGTTTGGAAGGGCAGAACGAAGTGTGGAAAAAGTCACGCCACGCAGGAATTTCGCTACGCAGGAATTTCGCTAACCATCCCTCCGCCGTCCCGCATCTGACGCAGAACTCACTCAAACTCGAAACTTAATATTTTAGAGAAGCGCCACGTCCACCTCCTAGAAAGTTCAAGCCTGCCCAGCCCTTACTTCTTCCAACCCAGGGTCCTCAACCAACCTCTCCCACACATACGCGCCCTCAGCAGATGCGTTTGCAGAAAGGAACAACACAAGCAGTTTGTCAAAATCAACCAGTTTGTGAATGAAGTGTACAGCTTGGTTTGTTTGGGGGTTCGGCTCTGAACTTTGCGGCGCCTCAAGCCCCCAACCATGCGGCTCGGAATATTCCGTCAATTACTTCGTGGCGGGGACTTTTGAATGCGCCACTGTAGGGTTGACCCATTCTGACAGAGAATGCTTTCAGCCGCTTTACGGCTTTGATTTGACCCATCACATTTGGGTTGGAGTCGCGCTGTTTCGCGCCGTGGTGCCGCTAACCAACAAATTCTCTTTCTCCTTCTGGTTCAGTTGCTTCATCATCCTCCTCACTCTCAACTCACCTCTGCTCGTGTAAAGTCTCATTCATGGAGTTCATTTCCAGCTTCACGAATTCAATGAAGGATTTCCAGTAAAGCTCCAACTTATTGAGCTCCTTTTGGACTTCAAGCTACTCGCTCCTCGGAGCAAATGCAATATCTGAAGCCACCCGGCTAGTGAATGGGGAAAGCTTAGGCATGCGGCGGCGTGAGGTCGCGTAGAGAGTCTCGTGTAGAATAGCGTGGTTGGGGGGTTGGGTAGATTAGAGTCTTAGCGAGCTGCCAAGTGCCTATGGCTGAACCATTCACGAAACCGGGTTTTCGCGGCAAGTTTTTCACCGCGACGAATTCAAGATATCACCGCAACATATGCATGGCGAGATCCTCGCTACAAGTATCACCGCAAGATCTGCATGGCGAGGTCCTCACTACAAGATCTTCAGGCCAAAAATCTTCCACGGCGATATCTTCGCAGCGAAATCGTAATGGCGACGCCTCCGCTTCAAGATCGCTGCTGCAAGAGCTTCAAGAGCTTCAAGGGCTTCAAGTGCTTCAAGAGCTGCAAGTGGTCCAAGTGCTTCATGAGCTTCAAGAACTTCAGGTGTCGCATGGCGCCTCCCCTGCTGGCGCGGCCGCCGTGACCAAGTCTCACGAGTCGGTAAGTCCATTCTTTTTCAACTCCTTGCAGCAACCGTTTTCTTGGCAAGTTAGGTTCTGACTGGTTCAACATAGTTCAAGTGCTAATCTGATTTTCTTTCCTTCCGCAGACCTCTCCGCGGAGACATGAAGCGCCGACGCTAACACTTGAGCCCTCTACAACACGGGGTTCTCGCGGCAAATTCAAGATTTCGCAGCGAGATCCGCATAGCGACAAGAACTTCCACGGCGACATCATCGCGGCTCCGCTCCGGCCTTCACCATCAACACGAAGACTGTCGAGTGGAGGTAAGCGGCAACTATTTCGACTTCGTTCTGTCACTTAATGCCTCGACATTGTTCAACAGATTCTGACCTGTTGCTTTCTTCCCGCAGACCTCTTGGCCGTCTTGGCGAGACTCGAAGCGCCGACATTGAAGCCAAGATCTTCACGCGCAAGATCTTCAAGCCAGGATCTTCCAGTCAAGCTCGTCCAAGGCGACATCTTCACGGCTCCAAGTGCTTCAAGTGGCCTTCCCCATCGGTGGCCCCGTCTCATTAAGACAGTCGAGTGGGGGTAAGTGCAACTTGTTTTCAACTTCATCTTGCAACCGTTCTCGGCCGGTTCATTTCTTAAGCTCTAAATCGTTCAACATTATTCAAGCACTAACCATTATTCAAGCACTAACCTTTTGCTTTATTCCACGCAGACCTCCTGGCGACCGTCTTGACTCGAAGTGTCAACGCAGGACTTGAAGCGCCGACGCAAGGACTTGAAGCGCCGACGCTAACACTTGGAACCGTCAACAACCACGAACGCGGATAGGAGCTACCACCGTCGCTGCGTGAAGTCTTCACGTTCTCACGAAGAGATGAAGACGCTTGGCGTAAGTGCAGTCTTCCTAATTTAAATAAGCGTTTCGCTCTTTTTTTTAACTTCCTCTGTCTCTAAGTTTTAAATATATTTGAAGGAAAATATACTAACGCGTTTTTCGTTGACCCTGCAGGCGACCAACGACGTGAGAGGCCATCCGACGGAACCTTCCATCGACCAAGCTCTCTCTTAACAACGACGGTCCAAGCTCTCACTCAGCGACGACGACGGCGATTTCCGCTATGCACAATGCCACTGAAGCCGCAGACCCGCCTTGATTTGTCCGGAGCTGCATTTCCTAGGAAATCCCGCTTCGCAACGTCACTGACTCGGGTCAAAGCAACGCGGACGCTGCGGCTTCAGCAGCATTGTGCATGGCGACCTCTCCCGTCGCGCGGAACTTGGCGTTTGGCGACGCTTCACTCAAGTCTTTACGATGAAGTTTTTATTTCAAGCCTAGTTTTTTATCACAATGAACGTAAGTGTGGTTCCGTTCAGAGATCTTCAACTACAATTCATTATTTTTACATATCTGCACTAACGTATTCGTTATTTCATGCAGATTCAGGGTCCTGCCGCTTCACGGCATCGTGATATTCCCATCGTCGCGAGTGGCGCTTCTATCGTCGCGTGGCGTTAGGCGACGGCGCGTGCCCCTGATGACGGTTCTTCCGGCGCTAGTGCCGCTTTGTTTTGTCGGATGGTAAGAACGCAATAGTATTTTTTATAATCATGCTACCTTATTCGTCCTTGTTTCAACAGTTCAGCTAACGCTTCTTCTTTCTTCCTGCAGATGGTGAGGAGACCCTTAGTTGGCGCTTGGCGACGCGTTTTTCCCTTCGCGCGGCTCTTTGCACGGCGGATGGCGGCGAATGCGGCTGATGACGGTTCTTCCGTCGCTAGTGGCGCTTTGATTGCCGGATGGTAAGAACGCGATAACACCACCAGCAGTTTCGATGGGTTTTTCAACGGTTATTCGTCCTTTCGTCAACGCTTCAGCTAACGGTTTTCCTTGTTCCTTGCAGATGGTGAGGAGACCCGTCGATGGCGCTTCTCCCGTCGCGCGGCGTTGCTTCGTCCGGGACATGGCGACGAGTATCCCGTCGCACGGCGTCGCTTCGGCGGGAGCATGGCGACTCTTCCACCCGTCGCGCGGCGCTTCGCACCGCGCCGGTGACGTCTCTCAGATTCGTCGTCGTTTTTTCGTTTCGTCATCTTCCGTTTTGTATCTTTCTTCGGCCTTTCTCACTCGTGGCATGACGTGGTCGATGCGCAGGCCAGGAATGAGAAAGTCCAAGACGTCAACGTCAACAACCAAGACGTCAACGTCAACAACCAGACGTCAACGTCAACGTCAACAACCAAGACCGTCAACGTCCACAACCAAGACGTCAACGTCAACGTCAACAACCAAGACGTCAACGTCAACATCAACACAACCAAGACGGCCAAGACGACCAAGCGTCCAAGACGACCAAGACGACCAAGCCGTCCAAGCCGTCCAAGCCGTCCAAGACGACCAAGACGACCAAGACGACCAAGCCGTCCAAGCCGTCCAAGACGACCAAGACGACCAAGCCGTCCAAGCCGTCCAAGACGACCAAGACGACCAAGACGACCAAGCCGTCCAAGCCGTCCAAGACGACCAAGACGACCAAGCCGTCCAAGCCGTCCAAGCCGTCCAAGACGACCAAGACGACCAAGACGACCAAGACGACCAAGCCGTCCAAGCCGTCCAAGCCGTCCAAGGACGACCAAGACGACCAAGACGACCAAGACGACCAAGCCGTCCAAGACGACCAAGACGACCAAGACGACCAAGACGACCGTCAACGTCAACGTCAACGTCGACGTCGACCGTAAAAGCCCGAGGCGGCTTTCACGGTAAGAACCGTCTAATTTCGTTTTGCTGCTTCCTCTTCGGGATATCTAACGCTCTTTTGGTGTTCCTCTGTGCAGTGCAGCAGGAGGAGCAGCAAATACTGCGAGTAAGGGAGGTAAAGGAGAGCTAGCTCTTCTCTTCTCTGGTAAGTACGGTCAATTCAGTTATGTTGATTCCTTTTCGAAATCTAGTTTGCTTTAGTGTTGG